CCCAGCCAAGCTGTAACAGTTTTTGCCTAGTCGTCAAAGAAACATGCAGCCTTGCATTATCCTGATGAAAGATTGTGCGTTTTCTGTTGACTAATTCTAGATGCTTTTCATCAAGTGCTTCTTTCAGTTGGTCTGACTGGGAGCAGTACTTGTTGGAATTGTTTCGTTTTCCAGAAGGAGCTCATAATAGAGGACTCCCTTCCAATCCCACCATAAAACATCACCTTCTTTGGATGAAGACTGGCCTTTGGTGTGGTTGGTGGTGGTTCATTTCATTTGTCCCAGGATCTCTTCCATTCCACATTATTGTACAGTATCCACTTTTCATCACCCGTCATAATTTGTTTTAAAAACGGAAGTTTTCATTATGTAAGTAGAGAATCGCATGGGAAATATGGTCAAGAAGTTTTTTTTCACTTAACTTATGTGGAACCCAAACATCAAAGCAATTAACATAACCAAGCTGGTGCAAATGATTTTCAACACTTGATTTGGATATTTTGAGTATGTCGGCTATCTCCAGAGGGGTATAACGTTGATTGTTCTCAATTAATGTCACGATTTGATTGCTGTCAACTTCAACTGGTCTAATGACTGTGGAGTATCGTCCAGCGAGAAATCTCCAGCATAAAACTTCGCAAACCACTTTTGACACATTTGATCAGTCACAGCACCTTCTCCATACACTGCACAAATCTTTTTTGTGTTTCAGTTGCGTTTTTACCTTTCTTGAAATAATACAGTGTAATATGCTGAAAATGTTGCTTTCTTTCTTCCATCTTCAATTTTAAAACGGCTACACAAAAATTCACCAATTTTGGGCTTCCCTGGTGGCGCAGTGGTTGAGAGTCTGCCTGCTGATGCAGGGGACACAGGTTCGTGCCCTGGTCTGGGAAGATCCTACATGCCGCGGACCGGCTGGGCCCGTGAGCCATGGCCACTGAGCCTGTGCGTCCAGAGCCTGTGCTCCGCACCGCAACGGGAGAGGCCACAGCAGTGAGAGGGCTGTATACAGCAAAAAAAAAAAAAAAAAAAATTCACCAATTTTGATGGCTTTTTTAAAATGCACACTGATATGACAGCTATCACAATCTAACAAAATTGTTTTGAATGGAGTTAAAGATGACTAAGAGCTACTAGAGCCATCTTACAGAAAAAACTGAATGAACCTTTTGGCCAACCCAATAATTTCTGTCTCTATAATTTTTTCTATTCTGTACATTCCATGTAAATGGAATTATACAATATATGACTGACTTCTTTTATCTTCAAGGTACATCCCTGTTGTAGCATGTATCATACTTCAGTCACTTTTATTGATGAATAATATTCCATTGTACAGACATACCAAATTTCATCTACTCATTCATCAGTTGATGAATGTTTGTTTCTGCTTTTTGAATATTTTGAGTCATGTTGCTATGAATATTTGTATAAAAGTTTTATATGGATTTCTTTTTTATTTTCCTTGGTTATATACCCAGGAGTGGAATCCCTGGGTTATAGTGTAACTCTATTTCACATTTTGAGGAAATGCCAAACTATTTTCCAAAGAAACTACATGATTTTACATTTCTACCAGCAATGTATTAAGGCTCCAATTTCTCTACATCTTAGTCAGCCTGTATTAATATCTTTTTTTGTAGCCATCCTAGTGAGTATGCTGTTATAGCTTACTGTGGATATGATTTGCAGTTTACTAATGGCTAATGATGTTGAGCATCTTACCATGTGCTTATTGGTCATTTATATATATTTTTTGGATAAGTGTCTATTAAGATCCTTCGCCCATTTTTCAAATTGAGTTATTTTTCTTTTTATTATTGTGTTGTAAGAGTTCTTTATTTATTCTGGATATAAATTCCTTATCAGATATATGATTTGCAAATATTTTCTCCCATTCTTTGCGTTGTCTTTTTACTTTCTTGATAGTATCCTCTACAGGACAAAAGTTTTTAATTCTCACAAGGTTCAATTTATCTATTTTTAATTTTATTGCTTGTGCCTTTGTGTCATATGTATGAAACCATTGCCTAATCCTGAGTCACTAAGATTTAAGCATATGTTTTCTTCTAAAATTTTTATAGTTTTGGTCCTTACATTTAGGTCTATGATCCATTTTGAATTAGTTTGTATATATGAGTCCAACTTGATTCTTTTGCATGTTGATATCCAGTTGTTGCAGTATCAGTTGTTAAAAGACTGTTCATTTCTCATTGAATTGTCTTAGCACCCTTGGCAGTAATCAACTACCTGGAAATATGACCATTTATTTCTGGAATCTCAGTGCTGTTCCATTGATCTAAATGTTTATCCTATGCCAGTGCCTCATTGTCTTGATTACTATAGATTTGTCTAAATTTTAAAAATGTGAATGCTCCAACTTTGTTCTTCCTTTTCAAGATCATTTTGGTATTCTGGGCCTCTTGAATACCCATATGAATCTTAGGGTCGACTTGTCAATTTCTGCAAAAAAAAGCCAGCTGGGGTTTTGTTAGGGATTGCATTGATTCTGAAGATCAATCTGTGGAGTATTGTCACCTTAACAATAGTATTTTAATCCATGGGTATGAGAAGCCTTTCTTTTTATTTAGATTGTCTTAAATTTTTTTCAAAAGTGTTTTGTAGTTTTTAGCATGTAAGTTTTCTACTTCTTTTGTTCATTTTATTACTGAATATTTGATTCCTTTGGCTGCTATTGTAAATGAAATTGTTCTCTTAATTTCATTTTTGGATAGTGCATTGCTAGTATATAGAAATATAATTGATTTGTACATTAATTTTGTAATCTTGCTTAACTTCTTTATTAGTTCTAATAATTTTTCAGTGTATTTCTTAGGCTTATATACACAAGACCATGTCATCTGCAGATAGTTTTAGTTCCTTTTTCAAAAAAATCTGATGTCTTTCTTTTTTTCTTGCCTAATTGCCCTATATAGGATGTAGAAGTGGCAAGAGCGGACATACTTGTTTCATTCCTGATCTTAGAGGGAAAGCACTTATTCTTTCACTAATTAGTATGATGTTAGCTGTAGGTTTTTTGTACATGCCATTTATCAGATTGAGGAAGTTCTCTACAGTTCTGTTTATTCAGTGCTTTTTAACATGAGTGGGTGCTGGATTTTCTGAAATAATTTTTCTGCATCTATTGAGGTGACCATGTGATTTTTGTCCTATGTTCTATTGAGATAGGATATTACATTAATTTTTTGATGTTAAACCAACCTTGTATTCCTGGGATAAATTCTACCAAGTCACATTGTATTTCCTTTTTATATGTTGCTGGAATTGGTTTGCTAATATTTTATTGGGGATTTTTATACCTATATTAATTAAGGATTAGTGGTATTTAGTTTTCTTTTCTTGTGATGACTTTGTTTCTGGGATCAGGGTAATACTTGCCATAGAGTGAGTTGGGAAGTGTTCCCACCTGTTCTGTTTTTTTTGAGAGAAACTATTTTCGATTATTGTTATCCACATTGATCTGCATGAAGATTATGAATATCTTCCTGTTGACAATTCTGTTTATAAGTCAAAATAAGAAGGACAGTTCAGAATCAAAGGGAAACACCTCAGTTAAGGATCATGAATAGAAAATGGGTCTTCTTAGTAATAATTTTTTAACCAACTTAGTTGAGAATTCTTTGGAGGTTATAGAACAGTAGTTGGTTGGTTAAAGACATTGTGGTATATTCATACTATAATAAGCTCTGCAACTTTTAAATAGGTTGAAGCATTATACATCTAAACATATTTTTTTTGGAAATATTTCTATGATATACTGCTAAGTGAGAAAACCAGATTACACATCTGGTTATATATTAGTTAATATGCATATGCATATATGTTCATATATGCTTTAAAAGAAAATGAGGAGTTTATGCAATGAACTCCTTACTGTGTTTTCTCTGGGGAATGAGTTTTAGATAAACTACATGCTATAGTTAATCTTTTCATATTCAAATATTTACAAAAGCCATATTTTATTATAAAGATATTTCCATTAAAAATAGTTTTTGGAGCACTAAATATGTGGCTGAACAAGGTATAGAATCCCTTTTATTCTGACCTATGTGTGTCCTCTATTTTTTTGGAAAAGTTATAACACATTTCATATTGAAATTAGCTCCTGTCTAATATTGCATATTCCTTTTTTACATGTTAGTCTTATCTTTTTTGTGATATTATGAACTGTTTATATTTTTCTTTCCTTTCTTTCCCACTGTGTTATTATGAAAGCTTTCAAACATACAGAGGAGTTGAAAGAATTATACTGGAACACTCATATATGTATTTATATGTTGTCACAAATTTTATTGTACTGTTTGATGAGTTTTGACTAAAGTATACATGTGTGTAATTCAAACCTTGTCAAAATATAGAATATTACCTTCACTCAATAAAGTTCCTTCATACCCCTTCCAGTCAGTTCTCCTCAAATCAACCACTGTTCTGATTTTTTTCACCATAGGTTAGTTTTACTTGTTTAGAATTTAATATAAATGTAATCATACTATATGTACTCTTTGTGTATTGCTTCTTTTACTTAGCATAATATATTTGAGAATCATCCATGTTTTGGCTTCTGTCATTAGTTTTTATCTTTTAATTGTTGAGTAGTATTCTATTGTATTGCGTATACCACAGTTTTGTTTTTGAATTCTCTTGTTGATTGTCACCTGGGCTGTTTCTAGGTTGTTATGTATAAAGCTGTTAGGGACATATACAAATTATTATGTGGGCATATGCTCTTCATTTCCTTGGGTACATACACAGGAGTGGAATTTCTAGGTCATAGGACAGGTATATGTTTAGTTTTTAAAGAACTACAGCACATTTTTCTAAAGTGGTTGTGTCATTTTACACTCCTACCAACAATACTTGGTAGTAGTTTTTAAAAAATTAAATAATTATTTTAGTCATTCTGGTGGTTGGATAGTGGTATCTTGTTGTGATTTTAATTTCCCTGATGACTATTTTCACTGTTTTCTCTCTTTCAGACAGTTCGGCATGGTTTTCCTTATCAGCCCACAGCATTAGCCTTTGATCCAGTTCAGAAAATCTTGGCTATTGGGACGAGAACTGGTGCTATACGAATGTATCCTTATTTTTTGGTTCATTATTTGCTATATTAATACGAATTACATTTCCTTAAATATTTAGGTAAGTGAAATATTTATGACCAAATAAAGTTTACTGTTTCTTTAGCAATGAGTAACCCACATCATCAAATTTATTGGCATATATTTAATGTCTGTGAGATAAGTATTGATGCTCCTTTTAAAATCCCTCATATTGGTGATTTGTGTCTTCTACTTTTTCCTGATTAGTCTGGCTAGAAGCTTATCAGCTGCACTGATCTTCATAAGAACCAACTTTTGGTTTCATTGTTTTTCTGTATTGTTTTCCTATATTTTATTTCATTGATCCCTGGTTTGATTTTTTTTTATTTCCCCTCTTTTGATTAATCTTGGGTTTCATTTTATCTTTTTCTAGTGTTTTAAGGTGGAAACTGAAGCCACAGATTTGAGAACTTTCTTCTTTTCTAATATATGTCTGTAGGGCTGTGAATTTCCTCCCAAATTTTGTTTTAGTGGCATGCCGTTTCTGTAAATGTTTTCCTCTAAAAGTTTTATAGTGTCTGGCCTTACATTTAGGTCTTTAATCCATTTTGAGTTTATTTTGGTGTATGGTGTTAGGAAGTGTTCTAATTTCATTCTTTTACATGTAGCTGTCCAGTTTTCCCAGCACCACTTATTGAAGAGGCTGTCTTTTCTACATTGTATATTCTTGCCTCCATTATCAAAGATAAGGTGACCCTATGTGCATGGGTTTATCTCTGGGCTTTCTATCCTGTTCCATTGATCAATATTTCTGTTTTTGGGCCAGTACCATACTGTCTTGATTACTGTAGCTTTGTAGTTTAGTCTGAAGTCCAGGAGCCTGATTCCTCCAGCTCCATTTTTCTGTCTCAAGACTGCTTTGGCTATTCGGGGTATTTTGTGTATCTATACAAATTGTGAAATTTTTTGTTCTAGTTCTGTGAAAAATGCCATAGGTAGTTTGATAGGGATTGCATTGAATCTGTAGATTGCTTTGGGTAGTAGAGTCATTTTCACAATATTGATTCTTCCAATTCAAGAACATGATATATCTCTGCATCTGTTGGTATCATCTTTAATTTCTTTCATCAGTGTCTTATAGTTTTCTGCATACAGGTCTTTTGTATCCTTAGGTAAGTTAATCCCTAGGTATTGTATTCTTTTTGTTGCAGTGGTAAATGGGAGTGTTTCCTTAATTTCTCTTTCATATTTTTCATCATTGGTGTATAGGAATGCAAGAGATTTCTGTGCATTAATTTTGTATCCTGCTACTTTACTAAATTCATTGATTAGCTCTAGTAGTTTTCTGGTAGCATCTTTAGGATTCTCTATGTAAAGTATATCATCTGCAAACAGTGACAATTTTACTTCTTCTTTTTCGATTTGTATTCCTTTTATTTCTTTTTCTTCTCTGATTGCTGTGGCTAAAACTTGCAAAACTATGTTGAATAATAGTGGTGAGAGTGGGCAACCTTGTCTTGTTCCTGATCTTAGAGGAAATGGTTTCAGTTTTTCACCATTGAGAATGGTGTTGGCTGTGGGTTTGTCATATATGGCGTTTATTATGTTGAGGTAAGTTCCCTCTGTGCCTACTTCCTGGAGAGTTTTTATCATAAATGGGTGTTGAATTTTGTCGAAAGTTTTTTCTGCACCTATTGAGATAATCATATGGCTTTTATCCTTCACTTTGTTATTGTGGTGTATCACATTGATTGAATTGCGTATATTGAAGAATCCTTGCATTCCTGGGATAAACCCCACTTGATCATGGTGTATGATCCTTTTAATGTGTTGTTGGATTCTGTTTGCTTGTATTTTGTTGAGGATTTTTGCATCTATGTTCATTAGGGATATTGGTCTGTAGTTTTCTTTTTTTGTGACATCTTTGTCTGGTTTTGGTATCAGGGTGGTGGCCTCGCAGAATGAGTTTGGGAGTGTTCCTCCCTCTACCATTTTTTGGAAGAGTTTGAGAAGGATAGGTGTTAGCTCTTCTCTACATGTTTGATAGAATTTGCCTGTGAAGGCATCTGGTCCTCGGCTTTTGTTTGTTTGAAGATTTTTAATCACAGTTTCAATTGCAGTGCTTGTGATTGGTCTGTTTATATTTTCTGTTTCTTCCTGGTTCAGTTTCGGAAGGTTGTGCTTTTCTACAAATTTGTTTATTTCTTTCAGGTTGTCCATTTTACTGGCATATAGTTGCTTGTAGTAATCTCTGATGATTCTATGTATTTCTTTTTTTTTTTAAACATCATTATTGGAGTATAATTGCTCTACAATAGTGTGTTAGTTTCTGCTTTATAACAAAGTGAATTGGCCGTACATATACGTATATCCCCATATCCCCTCCCTCTTGTGTCTCCCTCCCACCCTCCCTATCCCACCCTTCTAGGTGGTCACAAACCTTTATGTATTTCTGCACTGTCAGTTTTCACTTATTTTTCATTTCTAATTCTGTTGATTTGAGTCTTCTCCCTTTTTTCTTGAAGAGTCTGGCTAATGGTTTATCAATTTTGTTTATCTTCTCAAAGAACCAGCTTTTTGTTTTCTTGATCTTTGCTATTGTTTCCTTCATTTATATATTTATTTTTTTGCTCTCATCTTTATGATTTCTGTCCTTCTGCCAACTTTGGTTTTTTCTTCGTTCTTCTCTAATTGCTTTAGGAATAAGGTTAGGTTGTTTATTTGAGATTGTTCTTGTTTCTTGAGGTAGGATTGTATTACTATAAACTTCCCTCTTAGAACTGCTTTTGGTGCATCACATAAGGTTTTGAGTCATCGTGTTTTCATTGTTATTTGTTTCTAGATATTTTTGATTTCCTCTTTGATTTCTTCAGTTATTGCTTGGTTATTTAGTATCGTATTGTTTAGTCTCCATGTGTTTGTATTTTTTACAGTATTTTTCCTGTAATTGATATCTAGTCTCATAGCGTTGTGGTCAGGAAAGATAATTGATATGATATCAATTTTTTTAAATTTACAAAGGCTTAATTTGTGACCCAAGATATGGTCTATCCTGGAGAATGTTCCATAAGCACTTGAGAAGAAAGTGTGTTCTGTTGTTTTTGGATGGAATGTCCTATAAATATCAATTAAGTCCATCTTGTTTAATGTGTCATTTAAAGCTTGTGTGTCCTTATTTATTTTTATTTTGGATGATCTGTCCATTGGTGAAAGTGGGGTGTTAAAATCCCCTACTATTATTGTGTTACTGTCGATTTCCCCTTTTCTGGCTGTTAGCATTTGCCTTATGTACTCAGGTGCTCCTGTGCTGGATGCATAAATATTTGCATTTGTTATATCTTCTTTGACTGATCCCTTGATAATTATGTAGTGTCTTTCTTTGTTTCTTGTAATAGTCTTTATTTTAAAGTCTTTTTTGTCTGATATGAGGATTGCTACTCCAGCTTTCTTTTGATTTCCATTTGCATGGAATATCTTTTTCCATCCCCTCACTTTCATTCTGTATGTGTCCCTAGGTCTGAAGTGGGTTTCTTGTAGACAACATATATATGGGTCTTGTTTTTGTATCCATGTAGCCTGTCTATGTCTTTTGGTTGGAGCATTTAATTCATTTACATTTTAGGTAATTATTTATATGTATGTTCCTATTACCAGTTTCTTAATTGTTTTGGCTTTGTTTTTGTAGGTCTTTTCCTTCTCTTGTGTTTCCTGCCTAGAGAAGTTCCTTTAGCATTTGTTGTAAAGCTGGTTTGGTGGTGCTGAATTCCCTTCACTTTTGCTTATTTGTAAAGGTTTTAATTTCTCCATCGAATCTGAATGACATCCTTGCTGGCTAAAGTAGTCTTTATTGTAGGTTTTTCCCTTTCATCACTTTAAATATGTCCTGCCACTTCTTCTGGCTTGCAGAGTTTCTGCTGAAAGATCAGCTGTTAACCTTATGGGGATTCCCTTGTATGTTATTTGTTGTTTTTCCCTTGCTGCTTTTAATATTCGTTCTTTGTATTTAATTTTGATAGTTTGATTAATTTGTGTCTTATTGTGTTTCTCCTTGGTTTTATCCTGTATGAGACTCTCTGTGTTTTCTGGACTTTATTGACTATTTCCTTTCCCATGTTAAGGAAATTTTCAACTATAATCTCTTCAAATATTTTCTCAGTCCCTTTCTTTTTCTCTTCTTCTTCTGGGACCCCTATAATTCGAATGTTGGTGCATTTAATGTTGTCCCAGAGGTCTCTGAGACTGTCCTCAATTCTTTTCATTCTTTTTTCTTTATTCTGCTCTGTGGTAGTTATTTCCACTATTTTATCTTCCAGGTTACTTATCTGTTCTTCTGCCTCAGTTATTCTGCTATTGAAACCTTCTAGAGAATTTTTTTTGTGTTGTTGTTGTTGTTGTTGTACACAGGCCTCTCACTGTCGTGGCCTCTCCCGTTGCAGAGCACAGGCTCCGGACACACAGGCTCAGCGGCCATGGCTCACGGGCCCAGCCTGTCCGTAGCATGTGGGATCTTCTCGGACTGGGGCACGAACCTGTGTCCCCTGCATCAGCAGGCGGACTCTCAACCACTGCGCCACCAGAGAAGCTCCCTTCTAGAGAATTTTAAATTTCATTTATTGTGTTGTTCATCATTGTTTCTTTGCTCTTTAGTTCTCCTACGTCCTTGTTAAACATTTCTTGTATTTTCTCCATTCTATTTCCAAGATTTTGGATTATATTTACTATCATTACTCTGAATTCTTTTTCAGGTAGACTGCCTATTTCCTCTCATTTGTTTGGTCTGGTTGGTTTTTACCTTGCTCCCTCATCTGTTGCATATTTTCTGTCTTCTCATTTTGCTTAACTTACTGTGTTTGGAGTCTCCTTTCACAGGCTGCAGATTTGTAGTTCCCGTTGTTTTTGGTGTCTGCCCCCAGTGGGCAAGGTTGGTTCAGTGTCTTGTGTAGGCTTCCTGGTGGAGGAGACTGGTGACCATGTCCTGGTGGCTGTGGCTGGATATTGTCTTTCTGGTGGGCAGTGCTGAATCCAGTGGTGTGTT